AAATGCAACATACAGTGACCGTAGAAGGCATTTTAAACGTGTTCATTTTAATGGTCATAAAAACAAGTCACACCGAGAATACAAACAGGTCAAAAGACCAAATTACAAGGGCAAGGGCAAACAAAAAGCCCATCAAATAAATCGCCCTCCAAATCCTCGGGAAAGTTGACTTGTTATAAATGTGGCATGACGGGGCACTGGGCTAATAAATGTCGCACGGCTAAACATTTGGTGGAGTTATTTCAAGCTTCCATGAATCTGAACAAAGGCAAAAATGTGGAAGCTAATTATGTTAATGACACAACTCCACCTCTGTCAAAATTTGATGTGTCCGACTTCTTTGTGGATGATGCCATTATGGACGATGCTTTTGCAATAAACCAAAATGTCACAAAATAAAATATTAGACTCCGGTCCTTAGGTTGTAACATATTAGTTTTATGTACTTTTTATTTCTTCCCCTTTTTCTTTTGTTTTTAAATAAATGTGTGTAATATATATACTTTTATGTTAAATAATATGCATAATTTGTGATCAATCTTATGTTTATTTACATATTGAAGATATGGATCACTCAAATGATAAAGAGCTATGTCTGATAGACAGCGCCACAACGCACACCATTTTGAGAAATAAAATATATTTTTCTCAAATGACTTTAGTTGAAGCTAAAGTCAATACTATATCAGGTGTTGCGAAGTTCATTGAAGGCTCTGGGAAAGCATATGTGATGCTCCCTAACGGGACAAAATTACTTATAAATGACGCTTTATACTCCAGCAAATCGCGGAGAAATTTATTGAGTTTTAAAGACATGCGTCAAAATGGTTATCACATAGAAACCATGAATGAAAACCAAAAGGAATATATTTGTCTTACGACAACTAAATCTGGCACTAAATATATTTGTGAAAAAATGCCAGCATATTCCTCAGAACTATATTTCACATATATTAGTCCATTCGAAATAAATTTGGTTTCTAACACAAAGTTAGATGATCTGAAAACATTCATGTTGTGGCATGACCGTTTAGGTCACCCAGGCCAGGTAATGATGCGTAAAATCATTAAAACTTCACTTGGACACCCATTAAAGAATATCAGGGTTCCATTATCAAGTGATTTTCCTTGTAAGACCTGTTCTCTTGGCAAAATGATCATCAGGCCTTCTATGAATAAAATTGCAACTAAATCACCTGCATTTTTAGAAAGGATTGAAGGAGATATTTGTGGGTCGATAGCCCCGCCATGTGGACCATTTCGATATTTTATGGCGTTGATTGATGCTTCAACACGTTGGTCACATGTTAGTCTTTTATCGACTAGAAATTTAGCATTTGCTAAACTCCTTGCTCAAATTATACGATTAAGAGCTCATTTTCCGGATCATTCCATAAAGAGAATCTGACTTGATAATGCAGGAGAATTTACTTCCCAATCATTTAACGACTATTGTATGTCGATTGGGATTGATGTGGAGCACCATGTTGCTCATGTCCATACACAAAATGGTCTTGTTGAATCTTTGATTTAACGTTTACAATTAATCGCTAGACCATTATTAATGAAGTGTGATTTACCTTCATCGGCTTGGGAACATGCTATTTTACATGTAGCAAATTTAATTCGGCTTAGGCCTACTGCATATCATGAATATTCCCCAATGCAATTAGTTACTGGACAAGAGCCAAACTTAGCACACATAAAAAATATTTGGTTGAAATGAAAGAACTTGAAATGAAAGATCTCGGGAGAACCAAATTTTGTCTCGGACTTCAAATTGAGCATTTGAAGAATGAAATTTTCATCCACCAATCCAATTACACCGAGAAAGTGTTGAAGAGATTCTATATGGACAAAGCTCATCCTTTGACTTCACCAATGGTCATTCGATCTCTCAACATACATGATGATTCATTCTGTCCCCGAGAAGACATCGAAGAAATACTCGGTCTCGAAGTCCCATATCTAAGTGCTATTGGAGCTTTAATGTATTTAGCTAATAATACTAGACCAGATATTGCATTTTCTGTAAATTTATTAGCTAGGTTCTGCTCATGTCCAACAAGGCGTCATTGGAACGGGGTCAAGCACATATTCCCTTATCTCCATGGTACAACTGATCTCGACCTATTTACCACAAAGATGAAAAGGCCGCTTTAATCGCATATGCAGACGCTGGATATTTATCTGATCCTCAAAAGGCGAAATCACAAACCGGGTACGTATTTACTTATGGTAACACCGCAATCTCGTGGAGATCTATGAAGCAGACTTTGACAGCTACATCATCAAATCATTCGGAGTTAATTGCACTTTATGAAACCGGGAGAGAATGCGTGTGGCTGCGATCTATGATTCAACACATCCAAAATGAATGCGGTATGAAACCTCTTACTTGTAAGCCTACTGTGATCTATGAAGACAACACTGCGTGCATAGCTCAGCTTAAAGAAGGCTACATCAAAGGAGACAGAACGAAACACATATCACCAAAATTCTTCTCTACTCATGACCTGGAGAAAGAAGGGACGATCAATATTCTACAAATCAGATCCAGTGAAAATCCGCTGATCTCTTCACCAAATCTTTACCCCCGAAGAAGTTCATAGAACTTGTACAGAAAATCGGCATGCGCCGTCTTCAAATTTCAGGGGGAGTATTTGAATGCACTACACTCTTTTTTCCTTCATCGGGTTTTTATCCCACTGGGTTTTTCCTGATAAGGTTTTTAACGAGACAGTACATCCAAATACAACGACATTATAAGTCGTAATCCTTACCCCTTAACTTTAATTTTTCATAATAAATTTTAATATAAATACCTATTCAAGGATGAACATTCAAGGGGGGGTCTTGTAAAATCCTGGGAATGACAAGTGTGAATTGTTCATCCTTGTCATCATCCTTGTAACCAGGACACTAAGCTTTTTTTCCATCCTTGTAATCATAGATAGACAAATGGCTAGGTTTAATAGTGCCAGCAAAATATATAGAAGTAGTCTTTAATGACTCATCATCAAGCCCAGCTAGTATAAATATGGCTTGATCAATCCTTTGTAATTCAATTCACAAAACTCAGAAATTTCAGAGATTAAGAAGAAGTTATTTAAAGGTTATTAATAATATATTTATCTCTTAAAGTTGTTCTTCATCTTCTTCATTTCACAACAGTTTTTAATAAATTCGTTGAACGGATGACCTTTGCTATCTAATCGTCAAGTACTTGCTACTCGGGATAAGGTAGGGTTGGATTTGGGCCGGGTCGGGCCTAGGCCCGGCGGGCTTTCTGGGATTTGGGGTTGGGCCCGGGTATCCACCGGCCTCGGGCCTCTATATATTATTATTTTTTTTGCTTTTTCTAATTAACCCCCGACCCCCCCCCCCCCAAACCAGCTCAAAATACACAGCCCAACCCAGAAAGTTAAAAAAAATAGAATTAAGCGCGAACCGGGCCCGGAACCGGCCGGGCCGGTTCCATTTTCCCCATACCCGTACCCAGCCCGCTACCCTCCCTAAACCGGGCCAATGACCCGGAACCGGTACCCGGTTCCCGAGCCGGGTCCATCACTAGGGTAAGGCCTAGTTGACTAGTGCTCTGACTCGCATTATTTAAATTTTTTGGAGTAACTCGCGAAGTACTCAACAATTTTCTACTCAATGAGTCAACTAGTAAATGTCAAACTTGATAATGTTTTAAAGTACATATGGAATAGCATTTATGAGTAGTTTGTAGGTATTTTAAAAATTGAAAATATAATAGCTTCGAATTGAATGAAGAATAGTTTTAGAAAGAGTTCAAAATTAAGTATTATTAGGTGATTTATTTTCTTGAAAGTTTGAATGTTTATGATTTTATCTGGATATGTTGCAACTTCATTATTAGGAGTAGGATTACTTTATTCGTTTTTACAAATTATAGGACTTAAAATATTGCTAGAATTCTGGGGCATTTATGTTTTTATTACAAGTCTGACTGTCTGAGACTCTGAGTAACCAGCCCTACTCACTACACGACCCTTGACTAGGGCTGGACTCGGGCCAGGCGGCCCGACCCGGAACCGACCCGGGCCGCCTAGGCCTGGACTCGGGCCCGGTTTGGGCCTGGGCCCGGCCGGGCCTCGGGCCAGGAAAGTTGGGCCCGAGCCCGAACCGCCGGTGGGCGGTTCCGGTTCCGGTTCCGGGCCAAACCGGGCCGGGCCTAACCGGTTATATTTTTTTTTTGGCTCTTCTATTTAACCCCCAACCCCTCCCCCTCAACCCCAAACCACCCCAAACCACCTCAAATGGCCCAAAATACCTAATTCAACCCAAAACTTAAAAAAAATTCAAAAAAAAAAAAATTAAAAATCGGCCCAAACCGGACGGGCCGGTTCTCTAAAACCTGGGCCCGAGCCCGAACCGCCCAGCAGCCGGGCCGGGCCGAACCGAACCAGTGGACTCACCGGGCTCCGGGCCGGGCCGGGCCAAACAGTAACCGGGCCGGGCCGGTTCCGGGCCGGGCCGCTCGGCCCGAGTCCACCCCTAGGGCCGCCCACTGTAGCAACCGGCCCGGCCCGGTGGCCCGGTCCACCAGCGGTTCGGGTCGAACCGGCCCGGTGGATACCGGTTCCGGGCCCGGGCCCTCCATTTGGTGAACCGGCCCGGCCGGTTCGGGCCCGGGCCGGGCCGGAATTATTTTTTTTTTTTTTTGAAATTTTTTTAAGTTTTGGGTTGAATTAGGTATTTTGGGCCATTTGAGGTGGTTTGGAGTTGAGGGGGAGGGTTAGGGGTTAAATAAAAGAAGCCAAAAAAAAAAAACCCGGGTGAACCGGTCCGGCCCGGAACCGGACCCGGAACCGCCCACCCCCGGTTCGGGCTCGGGCCTCATATTTCTGAACCGAGGCCCGGCCAGGCCCAGGCCCGAGGCCCGAACCGGCCCGGTTCAGTCCAGCCCTACCCTTGACCGAGGTGCCACCAAGTAGGTGAGTAGCGATCTAACTAGGGGATGACTATAATTAGGAAATGTTTAAATCCATACATTTTCTACTATCACGGAGGGGATATAAAGAGAGCTAGCAAGTGAATCCTCTTATCCTCACATTAAAACTCAGGTCTACAAATTAATTGAGACGTGGAATAGTAATGAGATTGAGAACAAGTTGGGCAAATGAAGATTTTCAAACAAGTTTGGATCGGTTACAATTTTTTATAACTAACTTTGAGCCGAGTTCGACCTCGAAGTGTTTTCCTTGTTAGAACCGTGTGGCATCTTCCCATGTTGATGTTTCAACAAGTTAATGTCTGGTACCACCTCAATCTCATTGTCAGGCTAGTAAAGAATCAAAAAGAACAATTAAAATGGGATATACAAAGGAATAAATAAACAAGACATAAAAGATATATTCACCTGCCACAGGCGCAGTAGATGCCATAGCAAGAAGTCAATTAACATAACTATGTAAAACAGTTTGCCTGCCCAAGCTCCACAAGTGAGGTACCTACCAAGATGACCAAACAAAGGTTCACAGCTATTTTGATATTTTCCAGTATTGCTGATGCAGTGTTCTCCCAATAAACGAGCATAGTTATTATTATGATTTGCAATGTGGTTATATATGTGATTACCTAAAGTTATTTAACATGATAACTTCACTCTCAAAAAAAAACATGATAAATTCACGTAAAATATTATACCAACAAAGTTTTAACATCACAACCTTAATTCCAACTAGTTGGGGTCAATGGCATGAAATTTTATAGTGCTATATGATTATCTAAAATTAACTGATACTAAAAACAAATGGAAAAAGAAAACTCTGGCAAAGTTCCATTTAAATCCCTTCAGGTGCAAGCTTCTTAAGAATGAATAATGAGAAGGAAAACTAAAACCGCTCAACACCATAAGGTTATAACCGTTATATCCACTTGCATGGAAAATATCATGAGACAGCAATAAGTTGAAGTAGTTGTTATTGTCATATTCATTTCATGATGGATAATGTAAAACCAAAATGCAAATCATAAAATCAACATAGCTACATGATTGGTATGGGCCAAATAAATTCTATTTGCAATATAAACTTGGAAGACTTATCTATAACTTGCATAAGATATCCATCAGGGATTAGTTTTCCCATTTAGAAATGTCCAAATAGACTGTGTCACACTATCACCACCACCCTCCTAAGTTTAACCAATATGAGCACCCAAAAAATTGCACTTGAGAAAAAATGCACACCTAGACAGTCGCTCCAGTAGAGGAGGATTTGAGTGTTTTAGAGCACGACCGTACACAATCTCTGTCCTCTTGGCAACATCATGCCAGCTATATAGTTTCTTAATCTGGATAAGAAAGACAGACTATTTCCGTGAGGTACCATGGTTGTATAATATTATGATTAGGTACTCCAGAGTCCCAGAATCACCAACTTCCAAATCATAATAAAAGCACTAAAAGAAAGCATCAGATTCGGTTACTTACACGGTTGTGCATAACTAGTGGATCAATATGGGGAATCATGTGTATTGCCTTTGTGATTGCTTGTACCATATCACTAGGATCTGGCTCTGCAAGAACAATCATATCATCTGGAAGAACCTGATGGACCATTAACCAACATGAGAACTAAATTAATCCACCCTGTTCACATTAACTAAGCTACAAACATTTGAAGCAAAGAAAGTATCATAATCATACTTCTGGAACTCCCCCAACACGTGTGCTGACAGTCAACAATCCACAACTTGCGGCTTCTAATATAGCTATACAAAATGCTTCTGTTAAAGAGCTAGTGCAGAAAATGTCAGAATCAGGTAAAGTGAAATATGGGTCTAGGATAAAGGAAACAACTTATCCTTATAGACATTTTGCTATTTTCAGGTTACATAATCTTTGTGGCATATAATGATATAAACACATTTTAAAAATTGGTTTACAACATCATCAGCAAGGGACTCTCCCATAAAAATTGCATGCAAGGTAATCTAGTGCACTTGGAAAAAAGAATGAGATATACCTATTCAAGAAAATATGGCCGGTAATTAGTACTGACTGTACTTTAGCATGTGGGACAGCTCCCAACATCTCAACTCGATCTTGGAGAGAGTGTTTTTCCCTCATCTCTTCCAAACGCACTCTTTTAGGTCCATCCCCTCCAACAATGAAGCGAACCTAACACACATCAAGATTGGCTACTTAAAATTTAAAGCTGCTAAAAGACACTTAGGATCTATCTACTCAAGCAGCTAAGTAGAAATACCCACATTGGGATGCAAACGGCATACTTCAGGGATAACCTCAACCAGCAAATCTGCCCCCTTCCTATAAACCAATCTACTTATCACAACTATAACAATTTCCTCAAGGCTGAGTTTTTCTGGAGCAGGTTTGAACATGGCTGTGTCCACAGCATTTGGAATGACATAAACCTTTTCCGGTGGTAAACCTGATCTCAAGACTGTGTTCTCTTTGCTTGTGTGAGAAACACAAATAGCCTGTGTTACATCAGCCAGAGTAAACTGCAATACCTTGTTCATGTGAATGCTTCCCACATCAGCAAATCCATAAAGAGAATGATCAGTGAAAACAACTTTGTATCCCATGGTACGTGCATGCATTAGAGCTTCATGGCATAGAGTAGAGAATGCTTGATGCCCATGAACTAATGATATTCTTTCCCTCATAAGAATAGTTCTTATGATGGGAAGTGTGCCATAAAAAGTTGGCAGTGTATTCTGCATGATAAAAGGCTTCCATGGAACATAGTAAACCTTCAAGCCACCTGTCATGTATCTCACTCCAGAGCGGTTTTTATAAGCATGAGTCATAACCACCACCTAACTTCATAGAAATGAGCATAACAATCGCACTGTATTAAACACCATCTACATGAAAAACTATACTTTCAGGTTTAAACTATTTGTTTCAACAGGGTTACTTCTGACTATCGCATTGCTAATGATTTTATTTATCTATTAGATGAATACATGTGAAAAAGATTAGAGGTGTCAGAGGCTCAGAGCTCTTTTTATTGGTGAGAGGATGTAACTCTCAATATACTGGTGCTAAAGAAAAATTCATTAGGAATTTAGGATTAGTTGGCTTCTAACTTCAAAGAAAACTAGTCAAAAAATAAAATATTCAAATTTTCTCCAAATGTTCATTGGGATAATTAGTTGCCGCAAACTGTCTAAGCAAACCTACCAAGCTAAGCTCCTTCGTCACTTCCCTTTCTGTATTCACTGCAGCTAAATACGCAGGGGAGATTACATTAATATTTTCTTGTCTCACTGGTTTTTATTTGCAACAGTGTATGATAAACAAATTCTTACTTAAATAATATCAAGCCAAGTGTGGGATAATTCCAGGGAAATACGAAAATTTTAATTATCTTTCTTTTTGGCTTGGGGCATGAATGATATCAGACTTATCGCTATCACATACAGACATACACTTGATCATATTCTCAACGAATTATAGTAATTTCGATACAAATTAATGAATTATCACGTTAAAACCTGACCTTATGGCCCCGCTTCATAAGACATTGAGATAGATAATAAATGTGATTCTCCACTCCACCAAAATTAGGATAGAAAAAATCGGACACCATTAAGATTCTATGTTCCTCCTGTTCATCCATGACACAAATATATACACCTGCAAAAACAACTGCTTCAAAAAACATTATTATACATCAAAAGGGAAAGTCGAAGACTTCCGGAGGAATGCTAAAGGACAGACAGCTAAAATGCAGATTTCATTTGGGAGTAAAATCATTATCAGTGATCCGCTAATGTGGATTATAAGAAGCAAGCTTATGCATTTCAACAAATATCAAAGGACCGTAAAAATGTAAAATACATTTGCATGAAAGCATAAGCCATACCATGCAAAGAAGTCTGATAGCGCTCAGTTTCTACGTAGAGATTTGACAGTCAACCTTAGATGCCCATCAGCAGCCAGAAATGCCGTATCAGGCTAATTTTAAGCTGCGTGTAAGAACAATATGAAGAAAATTACACTTCATGGCTGGGATTCTCTCCATGTTCTTCTATGATTTTCATTCTTCGTTTATTCATCCTCTGAACAAAAAAAAAGAGCTAATGCTTTACCATCACAGACTTCAACACTTCAGGAGCTACAAAATTAGTTTGTCTAGGATTTGTTGAAAGATATGTTTGTGCTAGATTTTATATAATCATTCGTAGGTATAACAAAGATGGAATTAATAATAAACCATATTTGTGTACATACAAGCTTACAACATATAGAGAATAAAGGTCCCTATTTATAGAGTACAAACCAAACAAAAGGAAAAGAAGTGAAATTATAGGTGTGGGAAATATAACTAGCAAACGAAACAAAATAAAACAATATAATATAATTATATAAATGTGAACAGATTGCTCCAACTATGTCTTCTTGATACCTATCTCATCAATCCCATAAGGGGTGGGAAATGCTATTTTAGGGCTCTTTGAAGCATCAGTTTGATTATTTTCAGTGTATTCGTCATTAGAGTGAAGGTTACATGAGACAAGAAATGCGCTTCAAACAGAAATGTAGGCCAAGGACAAAGAAAAAGAAGTGATAACACTTACAAGGAGAGGTGCATAGGAGCATCAGTGTGGCAATACGGAGGATTCACGAGGAGAGTGGTATGGAGGAGGACGATGACGGGGTTGATGAGCAGGGCCGGTCTGTCAGTTTCAGGGGCTAAGGGCAGGTAATATAAATTGGATTAATTTTTAATGAAATTTGAGAACCTTTAAAACCTTGAATTTCATTACATTTACAAATTTAATAAAAAGTCTGAGTTTGTACTGAACAACAAATTTTAGCACTAACTCAAAATTAAAATTCTAAAACCTTATAATTGTCAATGAAGGTTAGGGCATTTTAGGAATAAAAAAATGTTGGTGTAACTATCTAGCTTCATGAGGTAGTACACTGTGTTACAACGTTTGTACTCTATTTTAAGAAACCTATTTTTCTGTTTTATTTCCATCCAATCCCTCACACCCCTTCCGTTCCATAAGCGTCTGTTATCGTTAGGTTGACCAGGCACCGGCCCCGTCCACTCCCTCACCTCTCACTGAGCTGCTCCCATCCTTGACGTTTGTGGCGCCAACAGTCAAGGTATATTTGTATTCCGTTTCTCCAATTCTTGCTGACATTTGCTCATCCCCTCCTTCCTGAATACCCCATATTATTGTCATTGAATACCTTGTCACTTATTTCATCAGTTATTGATGTTGTAGAGTTTACACTCCAGCCCTTATGCTTCACCAAATGTAAATTCATTTTTTTGCCTTTTGGGAAAAACTTATGTGCCTCCTCACCGCATTTGCTCTGTAAGAATCCTCCTTCACTGCTTTCTTTGCCCTTGACTGTGAAGCTTTTCCTCTTGTTTTTGGTGTTTTTTGCTCTGCTAATTACTCTACTCGGGAAGATATAGTTGAGAATGAAAATGGTATGATGTCATCCGAAAGAGTGCTCCAAATTACAATCACTATTGCCTAGCCCCAACTTTGACATCTCTCCAATCCTTTAAAATTTACAATTGGTTTGAATTTATTTCATTACACTTTACCACCAAGTGTTACTCACTTACTCCTGCACCCTTAGTCTTCTAAGTGTATTCATGAATAGTTTTCCAAAGTATTCACTCATAATACTGGTTTGGGAATAAACAGTTGTTTATAAAACCCTAAATCTTATGTCGCTAGTGCCGTGCTTTACTCTGTTGTGATTAGAAAGAACGCTGCTATGAAAAATTAATGTCTATGCTGTTAGAAAGAATCAATTCTTCTGTGTTCCCTCTTGAAGTTAGTTACAGATAATGATTGCCTCACGTTAAACATGGGAACTATTCAGGACATTGACCGCATCTGTCCATTTTACTATTCAGAAGAATGGTTTTACTCTTGTCTAACGTTCTTCACCGTTACCAACTAGGCAACTACACTTCGTAGGACTTGACAATTCTATAGAACCTAATATTATTCATAGCATAGCTAGAAATGATACTATTCTACCATTTTGTGGCTGTGTTAGAGTGCTAAAACCCAACTCATAAAACACTTTACTAATTGCAGTATTGCCACTTTTTTAAATGAGCAGGGAAAAATCCTTTTGATTTTAATTGCACATTGAAAACAGGAATAAACTGATTGTGATTATTCATATAGTGATGTATTATTGTTTTATTTATGTTTTTTACAAAAAAAATGCTGTACTTTTACTACACTCAAAACATAAAATTCTTTCTTGGATCAGGTGATCTATCTATTCAGAAAAGTCAAGCAAAGCTTACTGTCTTCATAAACAAAACAATTTAGTAGAATGATATGCCAATATCTCTAAAGAAATTGTGAAATCTTGGGAGGGAATTGCTTAGTTCTGATAGAAGGTCTGAATTCATGTGTCATTTTATATCAAACTTTTGCACACAATTTGTTTTAATATTTCTTAGCATCCCTAAATATAAACTGCATTTTCACTAACATAGTATTGGGCATTTACCCCTCGCTCATCGCGTGACACATTACTAGTATAACATAACAAGTATCAATAGAAAAAGCTAAAACGCATTCACAATTTTAATATTTCACAGTACTTTTTTATAAATTCTTTAAAATTTTAAAAATATAAAGAATAAATTTCACTTTCAGTCCATACGAGTTTTAGGTCAATTCCACATTTAGTCCACATCTTTCACTTTGTACACTTTTGATACATAATTATTGTGTTTTCGCCCAAATATGGTCCTTCTGGCATTGTTTAGGATGGTTAAAATCGCCGGAAAAGGACCCTTAAAAAACATTAGTCAAGTACCAAAAGTAAACAAAGTGAAAGATGTGGACCAAAAGTGGAATTAATTCAAAATATAAGTACATAATCAAGTATCAACACTTCCACAATTTCAGTATTCATAATTCAACAATCAACAACTTATCAACTATAATCTATAATTGTACTAAGTGGAAACAGATAAGTAAAGGAAATAGACAAGGTCTGAGGAGCAGTACCAGAGTCCATAGAGAATCTGACTGTCTGAGAAGAAGCCTTCGTCTTCCAATGTCGTCTTTCCAGAATAGAACTTGAACCCCTTCCCAACGTTGTCCGTCTATCCTCTGTTCTGCAATCGGCACTTCGGTTGTTCTGTTGTTCAGCTGTTCGGACCGTTCCCCACTCCTAGTCGTCTCCCAAGCGTCGGCGGTTGGCGGGTCCTCTCTCCTCTGTTCCCAACTGGGGAACTCCTATGCCGGCATTCTCCCAAATTCCAAGTAACGATTGGAAATCAGTTATTCAGAAGGCTGCAACGATAACGAAATTCCTATGCCCAACTGTGAATGAAGTTATAAATTGAAAAATGCTAGATACACCCTGTATGCGGCAACTCTGTCTGGGTCGACACAATTTTTGTTGTAAATTTCACAATTTTACTATTTGTATGCCAAGCTCTCTTTATTTATCTTTCTCATCCTCCATCTTTCGTTCTTTCTTCTTTTTTCTCTTTTTCTATTTTGGTTAAAAGCTCAAATAAGCCATGTACCGATTGTTCAATTAGCTTCCTAAATTCTAAAAAGCTTCAATTCATCCCATGAATTCGACAAAAAAGTTCAAATCTCACTTTTTTCAGCTAAAATTCTGGTCACCGCTACATCACCAGACCAGATGCGAACCGTGCATCCCATGTGGCAATTTAAGTGGTCAAATGACTCAAATTGACCCCAGAACCTAAAAAGTGTCAGCATTGCTATCAAAAAATAGAAAGTAAAAATATAAAATAATATATGAGATCATAATGTAAAATATAGTCTTCTATTTATAATATAATAAGAAAATATTTATATTTTGATGTAAATTATATTTATCAAAAAATATAAGGAAAATGAATCATTTATAAATACACAATATAGAATTGTAATAACTATTTTCATATTATACTTTTTGTATAGTACAAATTCTTTGTATATGATGTATGCAGTATGGTATATAATTCTAGAATAACATAATACTTTGTATGAAGTATATATACATATATGTGAGTGTAATCTTACATGTAAATCTAAAACATATTAAAACTATAAAAAATATCAAACGAAAAAAAACTCTAAAATATAAACATAACATAAATTGTAAAATACAAAACCTAAAATATGTTATATAATACCAATTATTACATGTAATACACAAAATACAAATTTAATTATAATTTGTAAAAACATGTATTGTTTATTTCTTTAAAAAATAGATTCAAAATGTCAAAATGGTTTTAATGAATTTCATTTAATTTATTTTTTATGAATTTACTGCGAGTATAAATATATCCTTCTTATATTATTTTAATAGATGTCTATATTTTATACTTTGGACTTGTATCTTATTTTATATTTGTATTTTTGTTGCAATTCTTACTCTTTTTAACGGTTGAGGGGCAAATTGAACACCTCTGTCGGGTTTAGAGACCTACTTAACCCCTTAAATTGCCATGTGGGATGCATGGTGGGCATCTAACAAGGTGACATGGTGGTGATCGGACTTTTACATGCAAAAAATGATATTTGAACTTTTTTGTCGAGTTCAGTGGGCGAATTGAGTATTCCGGACGGATACAGGGGCCTATTTGACCATTTAGCCTTGTATTTTACATTTTATTTATACTCCATCTTCACACCCTTCTTTCATCAGTATCTTCGCATTTACTTTATTAATGCATCAAATATTTTGATATTTGAGAATATCGTCGAAAAACTAGAGCCATAGGAATTTTTGTCGGGGTTGAATAATGATATAGTCCATTTATCCCTTAAAACTTTGAAAATTTTTCTTTTTTGATTGTCCAACTAACTTGTTAGTATTCTTTTTAAGTAATGAATTCGTGGTTCCAGACTTCCAGTTAATTAATTCTCTTTCCTCTGCACAAATTTCAACCACACAGTTTTTACATTATTAATCCTTGTGCCGATCAAATTTGTTCAAGTTTTAAGGGATGGAGGGATTATTGTCTATAACGAAAGATGAAACAGGATAACTAATAACATTTTATAAAATTTTGTCATATACAAAAAATGTATGTATACAGAGACTTGTTTTCTTTTAATGTCTATGTATACAAACAAAAATGTTATAAAAGTTAAGGTTATGTTGCATCGAAACAAATGTTGTGTACATAGACAAAAAAATTATATGTACATTCTTTTGTCGTATGTATAAACAACTAATGTTTGTATACACAGACATTGCTTTGCGTGTAAATCACATTTTTTGTCTGCCCTGATCTTTCCTCATATAGGTGCAACATATTTTTAACCTATTCACGCTCCACCTCTCGAGCCCTTTGCAATGGAGTAATATCCAAAATGTTGCTCATGCCTTCATGTTTTCTGATTAAAGCCTTAGCCCTCTTTTTTGGATAATCAGATCTATCATACTTCCACCAAGCACAATATAATACTCCATTGATATGATGCAAATATGCAATACACTATTGTATCAAACATATCCACTTTGAATCAAACTCCATAGCCTTCATGACGGTCTCTAAATAACCATATTCAACTCTATCGTATGCATTGCCCATAGTTAATTTGAGAGTCACAAAATCATCTTTCACTTGTCTCTTACCCTTTAAAAATGAAGTGTTTCGAAAACCACCATAACATTATCTGCTATCATTCTGCCTGGGACAAAAGCATTCCGATTCGTATAGACTAAATCATTTATGATACCTTTTGATATATTCGCAAGAACCCAAAACATTAAACAAGACGTTACATAAACTAATAGGCCATCAATCACTCAAATATTTAGGCTTATCTTTTTTCAGAAAAAGAATTAAATTAGTTCGATTTACCCCCATCGGCACCCTCCCTTTGGTAAACACATGTTGGCAATAGCCGACAATGTCCTCCCCCGAGATTTCCCAATAGTGTTGGAAAATGACAGGGTTTAATTTAACCCTTCCAGACCTTGCGCTTTATCCGAGTGCATAGAGAAAACTACCTTTTCACTTCAAGGGCCGTAAGCGGTCTAAAGAGATCCCCATTCTGCTTTGTGGAAACTCTAGCTACACCTGCTAGAGAGTCTGACTACATTGAAACTGTTCAAATTAAACAATTAGGTGAAGTGACTATGTATCATCATGCTTAGTTTGCATTTGTCCCCTTCCCATTCACCACTGAGTAGTAACAAGCATTTCATTTTGTTCTACAGTCTTCATTGTTTAACTGCATTACGAGAGAACTGTGTATTTCTATCACCTTCTCTAAGTCAAGAAAAATTTGTTATAAATTGCATTAAATGGTAATTTTGGGGCAATTTTTTGAGTAGGCCCACTTCCGATTTGGATCGGGTCAAAGTGGTTTCGGATTATCCTTGTTAAGGGATACAATTCGATATATGGTACGCTCAAAACGGATAACGGGTGAATGAGAAATTTATTCTCGAAGTTTGCCCGTTGGAATGGAAAAACTGGGCTAAAGGATGAGTTTCTAGAGTATTATTTCCCACACCGGAAAACGCAAGGGATTTGCAACCCTTTATAAAGGGAAACCCCCTCTAAGGAGTTAAGATTCCTGAAGGTAAAGGCTCTCTCTCTCGCGCAGGGGGTGCAAATCAAATCCCGAAACGGAGAAGAAAAACCGCGAGTTGCGGGCGACCTGCAGACACGAATGCCGTCCAAAAATCTATCTCTCAAGAGATACGATTTAATTTCTTTTTCTTCCCGTAATGATTATTTTTTCTCAGTTGACAGAAGTGCTCAGACAGAACGGTGCGAGTGTTCTGGTCGCTCCGCAACAGAACTACTACGCAGAACAGAACACCTCGTAGGGTCTTCTGGTGGGGGTCTTCTGTCGAGCAGCTGAACGTTCTGAACCGTTACAGCAATAAATGCCCAACATTCTTATGCCTTTATGCAGCGTTAAGTGGACAGTTCATGGACGATTCAATGCCCAACAGACTGATCATTGATGTCCAACGTTCAGGTTCATTAATTCACCATTAACACACAACAAATTCTCCTATATAATGGCTGACAGGTGGTTTGCAACAACACACATTTATACACATTCCTCACGTATTTTTGGTCTCTAAAACACATCCAGCATTCCGAAAATATTCTTAGTGTTCATATTGTGTTTCCGTTCGCTGGAACTTTCGCTTGTGTGCTCAAACGATAGTTCGTTAGTCATCGTATCCTGGGAAACGGTCGTTGCAACGCTCCTAGCACCGTGGGAGGTGACGAATACGTTTTAAGGACATCGTGCGTAGCACGAGCTTTGGCTAAAATTCTGCTCCATCTTATTTCTATTTTTCTTTCGTCATTTTATTAATTATTTTATTAATTAATTTTCTTTATTTTCCGAAACACACCCTACACCTTTACCATCTGCTTCCAAAATACATTCTTCTTTTGAAGTAAGCCTAAGCCTAGTAGGACATCTTTTATTCTTTGAAATTCAGCGGCACTCCATCGTCCATCCTCTTTCCACAAGAACATCAATCTATTTTTGTAGAAATCGATCCTGGTTTGGAAGCCAACCTGTTGATTTTTTCTCCACATTTGAAAACCAATCCACAACCCAACAATCTCTTACATATTACTCCATACCAAACTCTGGGAGATTAGTAAAGCTCTTTGCCTCTTCGTATCACCTCCCTACACTCATCATCCTGTAACCACATGTTTTTGAATTTAAAAGATCTTCTCTTGTTTCTGCCCTCCCTAGCCAACCACATGTTTTTGAATTTAAAGGAACTTCTTCGTTTATCTCTACCCTCCTTAGTTATCTGAGTGTATAGCAGGAGATTGTTGCTTGAAGGGCCTTCCAATGAAGTTGCGTGATATCCATTAAACATTGACGACCATTCTTTTCCTCGATCCATCTTAACATACACCTTCCCCTCCTCCCAAGCCCATTGATATCCCACAAGTGGTACATTTGTAAGATCACTACTCTGGACTGCTTCCCTAATGAGCCATTGTGATTACGAAAATCCGCTTTTCCTCTCACTATAAAAATGGGTGTCATTAAAATCACTCATAAGGAGTCAAAGTTTCCTAATTTCGTGGACAACCGTTTAATCAACTTCGAGGAATCGCGCCTCCTGTCGCGTTCAAGAAAGCCATAATATCCCATAAAATGCCACTGAGGCTCATATGTTTCTAGCCTCATCACTACTTTCTTTTGGTTTCTAGCCTCACTAACCACTCTATAAAATTATTTCCATACATTGTTACTTCAAGGTCTATGCCTTCTCGCCACATAATAGAGAGGCATCCACTTTGTCCATTACTATCCACAACAAAGCACATGTGGAAACCCAGTTGCAAATGAACCTCCTCACACATGTCACTTATAGTCTTGGACTGAACCAAGTTGATGAGAACTTGCACCGTCGCGAAATTACCTAGGTCGTGGCAGTTCCAACTTAACCATTCCCATACCTCTTCACACCTTTCGTAGGCTCTATATCC